TCAGGTCTCAGCCACTTTCACAGTTTTGAAAAAAAAAAGGGGGGGGGCCCAACTAGAATGTCAGGTTCTAACCCAGAAACAGAGATCCACATCAGAAATTCAAGGTTCTCGAGTACAAACAAAATCCCTACTGAAAAATGCAATGTTTTGAGCTAGCAATCAAAAACCAGAACTGGAAGTGGAAGGTTCGTTATTTCACTGCTTCCCCTACCCAAAATGTTATTGCAACTGTTGTCTTTCTGTGAATTCTGCTGCCCTTCCTACCACAGGGCCTCTCCCTCCTAAAATTTGCTGCTTGGGGGCTCTCTTGAAAGATAGGAGCACCATCTGGTCATCTTTATGTTCTCTCCAGCCACGGCTAAGTAAATTAGAGTAAACCTGACACCTTGGGAAGAAAAGTGAATGCAGCCATTTCTGTGGGGAGAGATAGTAAGCACTGCACACATGGCTGTCAGCTGCCATTACGTGCCCTAGGGAGAAAGGCATCATGATCTGATCTAGAATCTGACTACAGTTCTTCAGGCCAAGCTGTGGAGATGGAGGTTTAGGGCGAAGGCTGCAACAGGCTGAGTGTGGGGAGCAGGGAGCAATGACCTCAAAGTAGGACAAGTCCATAGGCCAGATTCATCCCACCCAGATGAGTCTACTTTACCTTCCCCCATTCCCTTGGGGGGAAGAGCACATGTAATGACACAGTTTACCTGGAATATGTCCAAGTGTACTTTTACTTCATTCTTTTGCAACCTTCCCACCCCCTGATGAATCTCCAATGATTGGCTACAAGGAATCTCAACTTTCTTCCATTGAACTGGGCTACACAGGAACAAGCTCTTGGGTATAGAAATCTCTAATCCCTTTCCTCCAATGCTCCTGGCTACACTTTGCCTTTTAAAAAGTTCCTTAAAAGTTTATTCTTAATATCCTAGTCTATACAAAGGTTATATTCCAGTTGTGTACAAATCATTCCAAATCTTCAGTACATTTTGGAGCCTGCCCATCTAAATGAATCTACTGAGACAGCGTGAATTGTGGTGGTTAACAGCAATGGGCTGTGGAGCCATACTACCTGAGTGGAATCCCACCTTTTGCCCCATTATGAGATCCTGGGCAGAAAACTTAACTTTATAGTGCCGCAGTTTTTTCATCTGATTAGAGTTTCTACCTACTTTTTAAGATTGTTGAAAACTCAACATGTTAACACATATAAAGCAACCTGGGAAATATTCAAAATACATTAGTCAACACCTATTCCCTTTGTGAATTAAATGATCAAATCACCTCTTGGGCTGATCTGAAACTTCTAATGTAATTCTGGGTATACAAGAAACAGTAAGGGGAATTTATAACATATAACAATGGGTTAACATTTATAATAAAGAGCTCCTGCCAATCAATTAGAAAGATAATTTATTTTTACTTTTTTGGTTTTGTGATACAGAAGGCCCTAGAAATCATTTCATCCAACCTTCTCTGTTAAGAAAGTGGGGGCCTAGAGCGGGGAAGTATTTCCTAAGGTCCTGTGCCCAAACAAGTGCCCAAGTCAGGAGTAGAACATGGAGGACCTCATTTTCCCAGTCAAAGGCTTTGTTGTTGTTGCTGTTGTTGTTGTTGTTGTTAATTGATCAATTTAGCTTGACTTAAGAATGTGGTGTTCCAAATGATCTCAGAACCTTCAGAGTCTCAGAACTAGACTTTGGAAGAGATACAACTCTTAATTTTAATGAGTCTCCTAATAACTATTACTCTGCAAATGCTATTTTTTTTTCCTCAGCATTGGCTTTGCTAGCTACTGAGTCGTTTTTTTTTTTCTCTTTCTGACATTGCAGTATTACATCTTTTGTATATTTTTGTATTACTATTTTAACTGGAGTATAATTAACATGCAGTGTTATATTAGTTTCAGGTGTACAGTATAATAATTCAGTAAGTCTATGCATTTCTCAGTACTCATCTAGGTAAGTGTACACTTAATCCCCTCTACCTATTCTACACCTCCCCTCATCTGCCTCACCTCTGGCAACTACCAATTTATTTTCTGTATTTAAGACTGTTTTTTGTCTTTTTTTCTTTGTTTGCTTCTTAAATTCCACAAATGAGTGAAATCATATATTTGTTTTTCTCTGACTGATTTACTTATCATAATACTCTCAAGCTCCATCCATGTCATTGTTTTTATGCCTTTTACGTCTGAGTAGTATTCCATTGTGTGTGTATAAGTATGTATGTGTATGTGTGGAGATTATACTCAGATCCATTCATCTATTGGTGGATACCTGGGCTGCTATCATATCTTAGCTTTGTAAATAAGGCTGCAATAAACATAGGGGTGTATATATCTTTTTGAGTTAGTGTTTTCATTTCCTTTGGGTAAATACCTAGTAGTGAAATTGCTGGATCATATGGTATTTCTATTTTTAATTTTTTGAGAAAACTCCGTACTATTCTCCACAGAGGTTCCATCAATTTGCATTCCCACTAACAGTGTAAGATGGTTCCCTTTTTCCCCACATCCTTGCCAACATTTTTATTTGTGTTTTTTATTTTAGCCATTCTGATAGATATAAGGTAATATCTCATTTTGATTTTTTTAAAAGATTTTCTTTATTTATTTGACAGACAGAGATCACAAGTAGGCAGAGAGGCAGGCAGAGAGAGAGAGAGAGGGAAGCAGGCTCCCCGTGGAACAGAGAGCCTGATGTGGGGCTTGATCCCAGAACCCTGGGATCATGACCTGAGCCAAAGGCAGAGGCTTTAACCCACTGAGCCACCCAGGCGCCCCTCATTTTGATTTTCAATGCTAATAATCTTACATGTAAAGTTTCCATTGCCCACAAAGTAACAACATATTCCATATCCTAGTTGCTCCTTACAAACATTCTCACTAGTCTCATAGGGAAACTAAGGTCTAGGGAGGGGAAGTAGCTTGTCCAAGGTAACTGAGCCAGTCATATGAACCTCCATCTCTGTTTACAGTTTTGTCCTCATGACCCTGACAAGAGGCAGAAATGTAATTTTAGCAGCAGGAAATCTGAGACAGGAGGCTAGCAGGCTATTGGCAAGGTCTGAAAGGGTAAGCCTGGGGTCCAGGCTTGAAAATTCAAGTTAAAGTTGCCTAGAACTGGAACTAGCTAGCTGGTTGTTTATCATTGATGTGTTGTTTTGTTTTATTTTATTTTGCTTTTGTGGTACGTGGGCTGTCTGGTTTTTGTTTGCTTGTTTGTTTACCTCTGTTATCAACTTTGATCCTAGAAGCAGGAAAACTAAACAAGTTTTATGGAAAGATCTAAATCAAGCTCCAACCTAATTCTCTAGCCATGTCTCTTTTTAGACCCCCATGCTTAAACTGTACTGGCTGACTCCCTGAGTCCCCAAACATAACATGACATGTACTTTTGACCTCTGGGCCTTTGCTCCACCTGAAATGCCTTCTCTTTCCTTCCATTCTCAATGAAATCTGACTCACTCCTCAAGAACTGGTTCAATGTTGCCTCTTCTGGGAACCTTTCCCTGTAACCTGGGACAGGCATTATCTTTGGTTCTCATATTGTCTATATGCTTCCATTTATCCGAGCACGTATCCACCAGTTTTTACTGGTATAGTTCCTTACTGGACTGTGAGTTCCTTGAGGATGGGGACTAGACCTCGATTATCTGTGATCAGTGTTTCCAGTGTCCAGCTCAAGTCCTGGCAAAGAGAAGATACTTGCTTAATGAGTAGTTGTACAATCTGTATCTCTCTTCCCTTGATGAGATGAACATATACACAAAGAATCCCCGTTCAGGAAGGTAAACATTATAACTGAGATCTATGCAGGGAATGGGGTGGGCATACTAACTAGGTCTGAAAGTAGAAGGAGGTATCTAGAAAGTTTCTCAACCTTTAATGTGGTAGAATAGAATAAACAAAATATGAAGTCCCCTACCCTGAAAAAGCCCAATTAACTGGTAGCAGAAAAAGAGTTCACTTTCACTCAGTATCAGAGACTCACTCAAGACCAAGATCTGAACCACGAATTCTAAAATGGGGTTAATTATAGGGAGAAAAAACACACAGTGTGACTTCCTGAGGCCCACAGATCCTAACCATCCTCCCAAAGTCAGGCGTATGTAAGAGAATCCTATTAAACGCATTATTAAGACCACACCATGGGTTACAAAATCACAAATGGGGTATCTCTATTAGTAATTCTTGGGAGTGTGTGGGGTGTGAATTTGTGAGGGGTAAGAGTATACAGGGGAGATTGGCCACATGCTTATAGTTTATGAGCTGATACGTGAGTATTACGTCTTTTGTGGCAGCAGCTTAGGTACCACTTCCTTTGCAGTCATTGCCCTGGTTCACTATTCCCCCACTATATTCAACCCCATGCCTGGGGCCCAAGGCTCACTACATCCTAGTCCTAAGAGTGGCTCTCTACAGACTATAGTCACTCTGGGAGAAGAGCTGGAGGCCTGTGGGTGGTATTACCCATGGAGGCGATAGAAAAATACCAGGACCATTAATCTCAGACAGAGCATGGAAGACCTGAAACATCTCCAGAAATTTGGTTCCTTTTCTCCTACAGGAGACAACCCTCTGAAGGAAGTAGTCCAGGGACTTCAATTTCCATTTCAGTAAGGAGGTTATTGAAGCCCAGAGAAGGTGAAAGCCTTGTTCAAAGTGCCACAGCAAACCAGACCTACTTTATACACCATGGCAAGATATAATCCCTACCATCCAGATCACTCAAAACTGGAATAGATCGAAATAGAGAGACTTCTAAGGTGCTAAGGAACTTCCCTTTTGGTCAGTGTCCCACAAAGACAGGTTGGGATGGATGAGAGATAGATGATAGATATATAGATAGATAATTAGATATAGGTATTGTCTTTTCCCCAATTCTCCCATACCCCTTAAGGCACACTTCAAGTAACCCTATATAAAGAAAAATTACCAGAGAGCCTAAGGAATGGATTTGGATTTGTGTACCTCTATCTATTTCCCCTTCTGTCTCACCTACCTGTTCTCCTAGAGGTTTTTTCTTCCATCACTAATTATCCGACACACAGCTTTCTTGCATTTAGACCTTCAAAGCAGGTACAGAGATGGCGTCAAAGAGGGAGTCTGGAGGCGTTGGTTGGTTCCTTGAAAAGGCTGTGGAAGTACCCTTGATAAGAGGGGCATGTGTGCACTCTGTTGAAATACCAGCTGTGTTAGTTGTCAAGGAAGTTCCTGAGCCATCCGGAGCCTTTTTTCATCAGGCCAATCATGTGTTCACCTTGCCCCAAAGGTCAGAACTAATATTAACAAGCAACTGCAGAATGAGGAAATTAAAACCAGCAATGTAGACAGGCAAGATCTGGATTTCCTCAGGGCTGAGCTGCAGGTTGGTCTTCAGTGTAAATGGGCACGCTCTCTTATTAGACAGTGATTTGGCAATATGAAGCAAGAGCAATAAAAATGTTAATTTCCTTTGTCCTAGTTATCCCACTCCTGGGACTCAATCCTGAGCCAATAACCACCAAAGCATGAAAAACCAAAATTTTTATTTTAATTGTAGAGCTATTTAGCTTGATGGCAACAACTGGAAGGTAACCTTAAGTCCTCTTGGAGGAAAAGCAGCTCTTTGCACCTTTTATGCAGACATTGAGGATGATGGCTCTAAGGCTATGGAATTCTGGGGAAAAAATTATGCTTGCAATTTGGGGTGAGAAACATAAGAATGCAAAGTCATGCTTTTCCTTGGACATTAGGCATGTCTATTATTCCTATTTTTGTGTTGTCAAAAACAAGTCACTAATCTGTTGCTTTTGCATTTGCCCTGTGTTTGCTTATTCCCTTAGGAAATAGTTATTGACTCCTAATATATGTTGTGCCCTAGATTAGAGGATGGGGCTAACAAGATAAAATCAGGTATGGTCATTGCTCTATGGGGCACCTGGGTGGCTCAGTCCGGTAAGTGTCTGCCTTCGCTGAGGTCATGATCGAGTCCCACACTGGGCTCCCTGCCCAGCTGGGAGTCCACTTCTCCCTCTCCCTCTGCAGCGCCCTCTCCTGCTCCCCTGCTTGTGTGCACACTCTCTCCCTCTCAAATAATTTTTTTTAAGACATGGTAATTGCTCTCAAGTTGCTGGCAGTTGTGTGACAAAAACAGAAATCAATGGTAGCTGTGCATTCAGATAAGTGCTGTGACAGAATGGACCAGAGGGTGCTGTGGGGACCCAGAGGAAAAAATCTAACTGGGGAGGTGTGTGGGTGTTAGGAACAACTTATTCAGCAAAGTATTCCTTGGGCTGATTAAGATAGGCTTTGAATTCTGGCTCTACCACTTCCGTGCGACTGGGGTGAATTCACTCATTTTGTCATATTTAGCTTTAATACCCCTTACAGGGTTGTCCAGAGAATGAAACAAATAATACATATGGAAGAGCCATGGGGTCCATTGGGAGGCAGTGCTGCTCTGGAGCTTGGGCAGCCCTCTTAAATACCCTGGGCCTCGCTTTTACTCATCTGAGAAATGGAGCCACGAAAAAGTATATGTTGGGCCATGTCCTTAGGAATGTTATGAGGCCCAAGACAAATAATGGCTATAGAGTGGGCATGAGACAGCTTCCTCTCTTCCCCTCCTCTTGCTCTATAAAGCCAGGGGCCTTCTCCTAAGTCTAATTCCACTGGAGCACTTCTTAGTGCTCCCTCTAGCTGCACAGTTCCCTTTGAGCTTCCCCTCTCCCACACAAGCACTGTTACAGCGAATACTCCCAGGATGCCAGAGGCGCACTTGGAGGTAAGGTCAGTTGCACTGGGGGCGGGGCTTCGGTTGCCGCGCGGTTTCGTACAAGGTTCCGCGGCTAAAAAAATGGCGAAGCCCTATCTGGAAGTAATTGGAAGCACAACGGGGTCTCGTGAGCCGCACGTAAAGGCAGACAGACTCTGACGCTTGGGCCTCTTTGCGGCGGGAGGAGGAGGGGCCTAGGTGAAGGACTTCCTCTTGCATTCATTCCTCCTAGGCGTCTGCACCACCCCATCAAGTTCCGCTCCTCCCGCCAATGAGAACTGGGGGGATCGAAGCCCCGCCCCACTTTCGCCAACAGCTTTGTGGCGCGCAGGAGAACGCATGCGCCAATGCACGCGGAAGGCGGGATTTGACCAACTCGGGAGTGGGTGGTGGTGTCCAGCCATTCTGTGTACCCTGGCTTGGGCGCGGACTGTGAGGTGTTGCAGTTCGTTGTTGAGATGTTGCGGGTGGTGAGCTGGAACATCAATGGGATCCGGAGCCCCCTGCAAGGGATGGTATACGAGGAACCCAGCAACTGTGCCGCCATGGCGGTGGGACGCATTTTGGACAAGCTGGATGCCGACATCGTCTGCCTTCAGGAGACCAAAGTGACCAGTGAGCGCTCAAAAATCCATACTACCATACTTTATCTTTTACACTAACTTTTGTCCCCTACTTACTCTCATTTTACTAAATCATTTCTCTATCCGTAGAGTCCTCCTCTTAGTCCCAGTTCAGAATCCTGATGCCCTCCCCCTAAACACCTATTTCTCACTACAGCTTGATGTCTTAATTCCTGCTTCATCTCCTGTCGTCAGCAGAGCTTTAATTCCCTCACCCGTGCAACCTTTATCCTGGCACAGATCCTCGTAATTCCTACTCATTCTCCTGCCCCAGCTCAGTACCCCAAATTTCCTTCTCGTCACACATTGTCCAGCTTCAGCTCCCAAATTAGATTCCCCAATTCTCTTTCCCTGCCTCGAGCTCAGATCCTTTAATTCCCACCCCATCTTTGCCCCCAGCTCAGACTCCCTGATTTCTTCCTTTTTACTTCACCATCTCTGATCCTCAGTTCTCCCCTCAGATCCCCTAGAGCTCTACCACCATTTCTCCTTCCCAGCCTCAGAACCTCTTATCATTTCTATCTCATGTCCCACGCAGAGATTAGATCCCCTAGTTCTCTCTCTCCCACCCTAGCTCAACAACCCCCATTCCTTACCTCTCTCTTACACCCCCCTCTAACAACTTTTTCTCCATCCCCAGTTTAGATCCTCTAATTACCTCCCTCTCCTACTTCATATCCCCAGCTCAGATTCCCAGTTTTCTCTCCCATATTCCATTTTCCACCTCCAGCTCCCTCCTTTCACCTAATCACTAGCTTCCTCCCACCTAATTTCCCTCCTCCCATTCCATAGCCTACCTCCTTCTTATTCTTATATCAATTCCCTCTCTAGTCCCCACCTTTCTAGTTCCTCCTCTAATCATGGATACTTCCTTTCACTCCCAACTCTGGCTCTGATGTGTGCAAGGAATTAGTCTACAACTTCGATTCCAGACCTTTGTGTCTGGGGCCTTACCTTTATCTCTGACACAATCTTACATTTTTTTTTTGTAGGGGATGTGCTGAGAGAGCCTCTGGCTATCATTGAGGGCTATAACTCCTATTTCAGCTTCAGCCGCAACCGCAGTGGCTATTCTGGTAAATGGGGCTTTCTGGGGACTGTAAATTAGTGATGGCAGCAGGTCGGGGGTGAAAGGGTTTCCAGTATTTGATAAGGTAATAAGAAACTCAGGTTTTTACTTTTAAATTTCTTTTGAAGTTACAAAGCTACTTTTAATACTTTAGGGTGAGCCCCACAGGAATAAAAAAACACTGGGAAAGGGTACCCCCACAACTCTCAGGATGGCCCAGGGGTAGAGAGGCTACCTGAGGGGAAGGAAGCACAAAAGGGATCCACTGCAGACTTAGGGCAAAAGGAATGCCATTGGTGCTGGGACCTGTGAGCACTACAGGAGAAAACATGAGCATGGTGGGCCTGGCTCCAGGTACACAGGGGAGGCCTAGAGGCTTGGACACGAAGCCACAAAGCTACTTGGGTTCCTCCTTCTCGTTTGCCTTTTTCTGCTTCTGCTGAATGATCTCTTAGTCCCTCTGCTTGCAAATATCAGCAGAAAGCCTGTCACCTTGGTACTTTCCCTTAAACTAGTAGCTCTGCTTTTTCATATTCTTCTGGCGGTTGAGCTAACACTGGTTACCGTGGGTCATGGTGACTGCAGCAGCTCTGGCCTACCTCCGTTGCATCCCCTCACTCTGTCTCATGTTGCAGGCCCCCAGGCTTTTAGTCCACAGAACTAAAGTCAAATAAAGCTATGTGAAGGATAGTTTTTATGTGTAAAATTATCCTATTTGGCTTGGGAAGCACAGTCAGTCAGGTGGTAGTTAATTGTATGAGCTCTGGAGCCAGACTGCCAGGGTTTGAATCCTACCTCACTTCCTTGCTGTGTACCCTCTGGCAAGTTAATCAACCTTTTTATGCTTCAAGTTTCTCAGCTGAGAAATGGAGATAATGCCTACCTCCTACGCTAGTATGGGCATACCTTGTTTTGTAATTATGTGTATGTTTATATAAAGATATATGTATATAATATATATAAACTTAAATGTAAATAAATATGTAACAAATATGTGAATCTATATATCTATATATAATATATTTATATATATACATATATATGTAAAGCACTTTATTATGTTTTACAGATATTGCATATTTTATAAATTGAAGGGTTTTATGGCAACCCTGTATTGCAAATGTCTTGGCACCATTTTTCCTCCAACATTTGCTCACTTCGTGTCTCTTTGTCACTTTTTGGTAATTCTTACAATATTTTAAACTTTTTTTATCATATTTGTTATGGTGATCTGTGATTAGTGCTTGCAACTTCCTAAAAGCTCAGATGACAGCATTTTTTTAGCAATAAAATGTTTTTTAATTAAGGCATACACATTTTTTAGACATATTGTTATTGCACATTTAATAGACTACAGTACAGTAACAACATAACTTCTATTTGCCCTGGGAAACCAAAATATTCATTTGACTTGCTTTATTACAATATTTGCTTTTTGTGGTGTTCTGGAACTGAACTCGCAATATACTGGGGTATGCCTGTATAAGGATTAAACAGATTAGTCCATGTGATAATAATAATAGCTAACACTTTTTGAGCACTTACCATGTGTTCATGTAAAACACTTACATTAGTAGCTATTATTGTTCTGTGGCTTTTTAATTTTTTTAAGATTTTATTTATTTGACAGAGGGAACACAAGCAGGGGGAGCAGCAGCAGGATATGCTCTCTGCTGAGCAGGGAGCCTGATTCGGGGCTCCATCCCAGGACCCTGGGATCATGACCTGAGCAGAAGGCAGGTGCTTAACTGACTGAGCCATCCACGTGCCCCCCTG